TTGCATTTAAGGCTCTCTTTATTCTTGATAATTCCCGTACTCATCCAGAAGCCTTGCTGGGTGTGACCCCACATGTAAATCTTGTATTTTTACCTCCAAATAAAACACTTTAATACAACCACAGTATCATGGAGTTATTAAGTTATTCAAAGTGTAACTACACAAGAAAAGTGATGAAAAAACTAGTTGCATCAATGGACTCTGACTCCAAACTGGCAGTTCCAAACTTCTGATATAAATTTAGCATTGCAGATGCCATCAGCTATGCTAGAAGTGCATCATTAAAGTGCTCCAATCAATATTAAATGCAGGCTGAGGAAAGTTATGGTCTTCTGTAGCTAATTCTTTCACTGGCTTTCCCTCACTCAATGAGGGCCACGGGCAGGAAATAGTTCAGTTGACCAGGAGATTACCAGGCGATGGTTTTGAAGATATGCAGGAAGATGATGCGAATGAGCTCTTAGAAAATCATGATGATGAAGACTGAAGTCCAAGGGAAATGTTGGCAGAGTTCAATGCACATATAGAAGGGAGGCAGATAACATAAGATGAAGAAGAACCTGAAGAAAAACAGCTAATATTGCAACAGTTACATGCAGATCTCTGTTGCTGCTAAACTAGCAGACTTTTTCACTGAAGAGGACCCTGGCAAATCTAGAAGCACTACTTTGAACTGGGGTCTAGAGCAGCTGATGATGCCCTACCATCAGCTGTATACGGTATTGCAGGGTAAACAAGACCAGAGACACATTACAGAATTTTCCACACTCCAGTACAACCATTGACTTTAGTATCAGAACCTCAACCATCCACCTCAGCCCAGTGGGGCCACAATTTAAGGTAAGAATATTTTTGTAGCATTTGTAGCCTTTACACAATAGAAAAAATATAATACATCATGATACTGAACAACGATTACATTAACATTCTTATTTCTGTAAGATTAGGAAACCTAAAAAAAGTGGACCCCATAAAGGGGTCCAGGAATGTAACCCTGTTTTATCCTTAAGTTCTTCAGTTTGTTTAACACGGTTTAGTCTAACACTGAGTTTTCAGGAACATAACTACCATGTTAATCAACGGTCTATTGTATATTATGTAACTTTATAGAAATGAAGAAGTAGATTGAGTAAATATAACCTTGAGGACTGTCAGTTCAAGCTGCCACTCAAATATCCTAATTGAATGTTCTAATTATCAAGAGCATGTATACTTCCATTCCAACATTTAAAACACCCAAATGCACACTAGCCAAATATACCATCTTTAACTCTTTTAGAGTTGGTACCCTAACACAGGCTGGTCCCTGTTCTATACCATAAGCTCAGTTCACCAGATAAGCAGTGAGAGGTAAATTTGGGCCTAGATATGCAGAGATGGTCTGGATGGTAAGTGTGAACCATATTTAAAAAAAATCCTGCAGCAAGCATGGCATAATGGAATAAGGAAAGTTTATTCAGGATAGACAAAACAGTTACATAGATTAACTTATATAGCAGCATATTTGTAAAGAACCTAGGATACGCCAAAAAAATTCAGATAGTGACTTCTTAACTGTACTCTATATAGCATCAGGGAACTTATTATTATCATATATAGGATAATATCTTATTATTATACTATAATAAAATCATTCCTCTCCTTTTCAATCACCACATTCATCAGGCCACCTTTTGGGCTCTCTCTTGAATTGGCTCATGCTTATGACTGCTTGACATTGCGGCTAGTCTGTTCCATTCCTTTATTGCTGTACAATAAAAATGTTTTGAAGCCTGGGCCACTGACTGTGGCACTACAAGTTGCTCTCTCCCCCTAGAATTATGATTGCTTTGGTTTCCGCAGCCCTGACAAAATGGCAGCAAGATATTCTGACACTGAGCAATTTTATAACTTGATTTAGCTTCAGTTTTTACTTCTGTCTTCAGCATTCATTCAGCATATTC